ACCTCCTTCAGGGGAGGAGACGATCCCAACGATCCCTGAAACGGGATCGCTCCAGCCCACACACAAGGCCTCCCGATGTGTGTTCTTGTATTGAAAGAGACAATTGAATACACACTCTGTCTCTGACGTCCGCTAAATCCTGAACCCTAAATTCCTGCTTCTAAACGCTGAATGGTCTAGGGCTTAGGGTTTAGAGTTCAGCCGCGCTTCACGTTTTGTCTCTTCCACTAACGAAAACATAAATACACCCATCCCAAACCAACAAAAGCAGCAGCGGCAGCGCCAGCTGCTGCTGTTGCAGCAGTAGCCTCAGCAACCGCAGCATTCCCAGCAGCTGCTACTTCAGCAGCAGCTGTAGCTCTAGCATCGGCAGCAGCAACATTCCCAGCAGTAGGCCCAGCAGCAGCAGCAGCAGCACTATCAGCAGCAGGAGGAGCAGCAGCAGTAGCAAGATCCTGACCTCAACAAGTACATTCCAGAGTGCAGCACAATCCCATCTGGCTTCCTGTACAATCGCTGCTACCATTTGCTGCAGCAAATTCCCCTGCAGCAGTTGCGGTAGACCCCAAGCGAAGTACTGCATGCATCGACCCGCGAGGCTGCAGGCTAACCACTGCAACACGAACTTCAACTGAGGATCGCCACCAAAGAAACCACAACCCCAATTGCCTGCATACGCCGGTGACAACAGCAGCAGCAGCAGGACCAGCCAGAGCGACGGCAGCAGCAGTGGCAGCAGCAAAAGCAGCAGCAAGAGCAGTAGCAGCAGCAGCAAATACAGCAGCAGCAGCCGCAGTAGCAAGAATAGAGATGTCGAATGAAATGGAGCAGCAGCGGGCGAAGAAGCTCCAGCAACAGCAGCCACAACTTGGCAGCATTTGCTGCTGCAGTTGTTCTGTGTATTTACCTGTGGTGAAGGGACGTAAGTGCCCGCATTGTATTGCTGCTGCAGCAGCTCCTGCTGTTGCAACTCCTGCTGCAGTAGCTTCTGTTGCATCCGCTCCTGCTCCAGTGTGGCTGTTGTATGTGAGGTGGTACTCTATGGGCAGGTGGAGCGCAGCGGAGACTTTTTGTATTTCTCTTAGCATTAGGGGGACGGAGAACTGCTGCCCTCGCGGCAGCACTTCTTTTGCTGCTGCTTGGGTGTTGCTAGAAGCACCAGGCAGATCCTCTGCTGCACCCACTGCTGCTGCTGCTTCTGCTTGTACAGATCGGGAAGCCCCAAAACGGGCAGCATC